ATTGGATGCGACTCTTTTGTTTTGTTTTTTCGGACTTTTTCATGCACTTAGGTGTGCCTTTGGGGCTATCCTTCTTTAAAAGAATGGGGGTCAACCTTGGGTAAGGAGATCGGTTTTCAACAGGAACATGGCTGTTTATTTTGCTGAGAATTAAAGCAACATGAAACAAAGTTGGGTAAATAATATCGCAAATGACCCACAGATCATTTGCACCTTGACATGAACACACTGGTGAAAGAGAAGTGCACTCAGCTGTAGAAAGGGTCCTGACGAAGTACACGCTTTGCAGAGATCCAATATAACATTGGAATGAGTCTCAGGTCTCAAAAGAAAAAATTGCCTTACAGAAAAGCAGTTTCTTGATAGACAAAATGTTTGCGTTGTTCTGAGATCCATAATGCCCAAACCCTGGGTTACAATGTATACAGCATGGTCTGCAAACCGCTACCCCATTCATTTGGACATTAAGAACAGGTGGGGTGTTAAAGGGGCCAAATGATCAAGAAGGCAGTAGCCCAAACATGTCGTCATACTATCAAGGTCATTCACTTCACGAAAAACTGTGTTTCATTTGTATGCTTCCTTTATAAATCTATATGCCCAGCATCAGGCAAAAATCTCGTGGACTAAAAGGGGTTATGAGTTGAACAAGTTTAAGAAGCCCTGGGTATGTGTCAGAATTGGTTTCATCACAAAGGCTGATGAGAAACACAGGTGGAAATGAAAATTAATGAGTTACATATAAAGCTTAGAGGTCTTTTCTAGAGAGAGGTTTTGTAGTGACTGCGAGCACAGGTGTTGGGGTGAAATCACATGATGCAGTGAGGGAAAGCCCTGCCAGAAACACCTCGGAGTCATTATAGTCTCTTGATTTTGAATTACTTTTTGGTTGTTGTACATTCAGAAACCTTTTAATGTCGCCAAAATTGTTGTCACGCCACATTCAGTCACATGACCCTGTAAGGGTCTCGAACTACAGTTTATGTAGCTCTGAGCTAGTGAGCAGCCATCTAATACAACTACTGGTCTCTCTCTCTCTCTGAAGAAAAATGACGAGAATCAAAAGGAAACATAAGGAATCATAAGGAAACAATGAGTCCAGTGGACTAACGGACCACGCAAACCTGGAGGGAGACCAGCAGAACTAGAGGGTGCCTAGCTAATGCTACCAATTGCTCTGAAAAGGGAGGAAAATATGGAACAAAACTTAAAATCATAACAGAGATCAGAAGGGGGGATACTTTTCAGAATTTTCGAGTCCAGGGAGGCTGGCGGAAGTGATAGCAATGGGGATAACTAATAACTGCTGCTAACGTTATTGAGCACCCGCTGTGTGCTCACCTCTGAGCTATGCTTGCTACCTAGATTCCCTCACGGAAATCTCATCCTGGACCTTAGGAGAGAAATGCTTGTCTTAGTGCGGGTTCCCCTGGAAGCAGGGCCAGAGAAAAGGGTTTGAACATAGGAGATTTAGTAGAGAGGTGACCCCAGGATGCGTACATGAGGGAGTGGGGGAGTGAGAAAAGCTGATAAAGGGTGAGTTCATGTGATTACAGCTGTGTGCAGCTAGGGCTCCATCCTGATGGGGGATGCTGGGAAATGATATAGAACAGAACTTGGACTTGAGAGAATGATGGGCTATTGATCCAGACTCCTTGCCCACCACGGGTAGAGGGTGGCCCCTAGGGGTGTTCCCTGCCCCATTTTATTATTATTTCTGGGTTGAACCTAAAAAGGGGTTGAGCAGGGGGATAGAACTGCCCGTCCTAGCCTCAGTGGCAGGAGGGAGCTGAGAAAGGCAGTGGCTGACCTATTCCAAGTGTCCACCAGATAGTGTCTGGAGACCTGTGGGGGATCCGAGGAAGCTGCGAAAGGTCACAGGCAGACAGGGAAGAGCTAAGATTTCCATCTAGGCCCTCCTGAGCCAAGTCCTAATGCCTGACCCTGCTTGGCAAAAGGGGGTTTCTTTTGTTATGTTACTGAGGACAAGCAGGAATTGGGGGTGGGGTGGGGTGGATAGGGCATGTGCTTACCCTAATCCCTTCTCACTGGTGCTTGATGAAGTCAGAGCAGGCAGAGAGTCACCCACAGAGGAGGAGGGCCATGTGGTGGTAGAGGTATGTCAGCCTAAGAGGAAATCAACATGGCCCAGAGCCCGAGTTGGATTTTGAGCCTGTGAAACTATGAAATGAGGACTTTCTTTTCTTTAAAGCCAGCTAATTGCAGTGTTTGGGAAACAGAAACTGGCATGCACATGCTCAGATTTGGTGGTATGAAGGAGCCTTTGGCACCAGCCCCCGGACCATTCGTTCAATTTGGGAAGTTAATTCATTAATTCAGTCTCCTCTCTTCCCCAAATCTCAGTCACGATCCGCAGCAGTCAGTCTCTCAGAAAAAAGTCTCCAAAGGCCATCACAGGCACTTCTGGAACCAGCTGCCATCAGGTCGACTCCCATTCATATGACCCATATGTGTCAGAGTAGAACATAGATTCTTTTTTTCAGAAATTGATCACCAGCTCCTTTTCCCAAGGCTTATCTGGAGAAATTTGAGCCTCTGACTTCTTGCTTAGTGGCTGTCAACCCTTGGCACTACCCAGGGACTCTAGGGCGCACTTCTCTAGAGAGTACTGCTAGAGAGAAGGCTAGAACCACAACAGCACGTGGCCCGAAGCTGAGAGGTTGTCGAAACCAGTCATCAGCCCAATGCAGGACTCTGGTGCAGGGCACTCCGGGCCCTCCCGCCCCCACCAAGGCAGTGCTCGGGGAATGTCCCTCCTCTGTGGGGTAGCCTGCTCCACTGGTAGGTTTGCGTATGTCGGTCATTTTAATGTGACAGCCTCCCATTGGTCTCAGTCTGCTGTGTGTGGGAGGGTGTGTGCAGGGTAGTGTTGGGGGAGGGATTTTTATATTACATTTCTTCAACTATTTACAGCCATGATGCATGCTTTTCCACACTTTCCCCCCCAGATGAAATGCTGCCAAGTTCTTTCGGCATTTCTTTATAGAATTTGCTTTCCAGACTCGTCCTCTGGGGTTCTTTTCTTCTGAACACATTCTTGGCCAGTGGCATTCAGCCACAGCACACTGGCATATTGTGAGCTTTTCACAGGTGTGCGGCCAAAGGTCGACCAGCATTTATTTTAGTCATGCCTGAGTGGACATTCTCCTACAGCCATTGATGTCACCAGGAGCAATGAGCAGAAGGGACCACTGGGTGGAACGTGTAGGTCAAAGTACAGCTGGCAGCCACATTGATTAGAACAGGTGGGAACTCTGCTAACAGGCATATGGGGGAGCTGGGTGAGGCCAGTTACCACATTTAGTCACACCACACAAGTGTCACAAAAGATGTGAACAGAGGATGAACACGGATGCCTTTCAGTCTCATATGTGTTTAGGTCCCATACTGCTAACAGCAAGGTCAGTAGTTTGAACCCACCAGCCCCTCTGAGGGAGAAAGATAAGGTTTCTAGTGCTGCAAAGAGTTACAGTCTCAGAAACTCAGAGAGGCAGTTTTACCCTGTCCTATAGGGTTGCTATGCGTTGGAATCGACTCTACGGCAGTGAGAAGACATTGTTTAGTTCTCTTTAGAGACCTTGCTTAGACCTCTTTAAAGTGTTGAAAAGCAAGGGTATTACTTTGAGGACTAAGTTGAATCTGATCCAAGCCATGGGATTTTCAGACGCCTCATGTGCACACGAAAGTTGGACATTGCCTAAGGAAAACTGAAGAAGATTCGATGCATTTGAACTATGGTGCTGGCAAAGAACTGAAAGTCCAATGGACTGCTGAAAGAACCAACCCATCTGTCTTGGAAGAAGCACAGCTAGAATGCTCCGTAGATGCACAGATGGCCAGACTTTGTCTCATATGTTTTGGACAGGTTATCAGGAGAGGCCAGGCCCTGGAGAAGAACATCATGCGTGGTAAAGTAGAGGGACAGCCCAAAGGAGGAAGACCCTCAATGAGATGGATCGACACAATGGGCTCAAACCTAACAACCATTGTGAGGTTGGGGCAGGACCAGGCAGTGTTTTGTTCTGTTGTACATAGGGTAGCTATGAGTTGGAACTGACTCGACAGCACCTAACAACAACAACAACAACAGCAAACAACAACAACGTATTGTCTTCCAAGGCAGCAACTGCATTGTAGTAGTTGCTGAGCTGCCTTGGTAGACATTCCATGATCTCCATGGGTCTTCTTTTTTGGAAGGCCTGGTGACATGATATTTCTTTGCCCCTTGAAGGCATACGTGTCTGGCTGGATTAACGAGGAGTCAGCACAGGACTGTCCACACTTCTCTTTCTGCCGCAACAAAACCGAAGGACATAGCTCGATGCTGGGCTGGCACCAGAGGGCGGGTCCTTCGGAAAGCCTGGGTCACTCAGTGACTATCCTGAGAAGTCCCTGATACTCTCGTGGTAGCACGAGGGAAATAACCCATTAAGGTGGCTGTGCTGACGAAAGTGCTTATTACTAGCAGTGACATTCATTGCTCTGCATGTGAGTTATCAATGTTAAGATATAACACCCAAGCATGAAAAAGCCACCAGCAAGAACCACGGGGCAGTAGCCTACATTAGGCAAAGCAGATCTAGGTTTGAGGATGACAGATAAAGCAGCCTTCGTTTTGGCAGTGTGCTAGGGCGAAGAAAATTCTGATTCACGTGGTTATGGAAATCTGTGGTTTTCGGCTACTGTCACTTTAAGATTGGTTGTTCCTGAGCCATAACCTCACCGATCCAGTGCATTTACTCGATGATCTTTTGTTGTTAACTCTGTTTTTCCACATTTGAAAGTATGTTGTAACCAGAAAACAGTCCCAAACTATTGCTTAAGTTTAGGGTCTACAGCCTCAGCGAGAGTGGGGGATATGATTCAGCTAGCCAAGAAGTCAAGGTTGAAGCAAAGTTTAGGTAGCTGCAAACACTGCGCACACCCACACACGTAGAAATGAAGGTAGAAAGGAACTATGGACAAAGGTAGAAAGGAACTAATGACAGGAGGCTTTATTTGAACTACCTAAGACACCTTGTTCAAATGCTACTTACCAGAACACTGAAGTCCATTGCCTTTATAGCCCTGCTTGCATTTGCACTTGAAGGATCCTTGCGTGTTGAGGCAATTGGCATGGAAGCTGCATGTGTGGGTATTCGCAGCACATTCATTTCTGTCTGAAAACGGGAACATGCCAAGGAACAGCTTAGCAGTCGGAGCTTGCCCAAAGACCATCCCTTACACTTGAACAACTCCAGGGTCAACCTCTCAACACCCCCAATAGACCGAGCATTGCCTGCGAACAAGAATGTGTTCAAGACTCCAGGTGCATTGGCTGAGCGCCCTGGCTGGGGCTGATGCCTGGTATGTGGCAAGTGTGTCTGTAGCTAACCCCCCCCACCCCATCCCCCCGCCCCCACCCCCTCCTGCAGCCTCCGGCAATCTCCATCTCCTGAAATCAGCGGGCTGTTTAGGTTTGACCATTAACTTTTCCACCTGTCTAATTGAGAACTGAACAACCTTAGAAAACAAATGCTCTATTTCAAAGAGTTTGGCATCCCTAACCAGACAAAGGACAGGCTGTGTGAGGAACCCCTGACATCATCGTGACTTAGAGGCACAAGCATTTTGTTCCCTAAACTGCCAGGAGCAAGGGTCAGGCCGGTCTGGTCTTGTCAGCTGGATTGAGACTCGGAAAGTTTGTTGGCTTCCTCCCACGCAGGAGATTCATCAATCCTTTTCTCCTTCTAAGAGTTCCAGATTTGAGTAGGTACACTGATGCACACACAACAGACTAGTGTTTTAATTTAGCCACAAAGGGTGCTTAGATGCCAATCTTGGCCACTTTGAACAGCAGAAAGGTCAATTCCCTTTTGAAGCTCTCCAGGTGGATCCCCACCCTGTCCTAGGATCCTCTGGGTAGGTTTACATGAATACAGCATCAAGGAGCTCTGCTCAGTCAGTGGGTTAAGCATTGGGATGCTATCCACAAGGCTAGCAGTTCAAACCCACCAGCTGCTCTGCAGGAGAAAGAGAAGACTGTCTGCTCCATCAAGATTTACAGTCTCAGAGCCCCTATGGGGCAGCTCTATTCTGCCTGATGGGGTCTATGAGTAGGCATCAGCTTCTTGTCAGTAGGTCAACCCAGCATCAGTGGCTTAACACACTTGGTGAGCCTACAGGAAGGCAGAGGGGGCCAATCTCACCTCTAGTCATGGGCCCCTGAGGAAATGTGGATTTTATGAGTCCGTCTATAATGGTCTTGGTATTTGAGAAGCTTTGAGGGAAGTGCTGTGGAGGCTCCACGAAGCTGTTCAAAACTCAGGAACCACATGTTGCCCCAACACGATGACTCAGGACATATCCCGGGAAGTGTTGCAAGAAATCCTACTCTTTTTTTCTCCAAATGGCTTGCTTTTCCTGCCATGCTCACACTGTTGGTACCCATATGATGTGGACACGAACACCGACAGAGCTAGAATTCCCCTCACTGTGTCCAGGCCCCTTCCTACGCTATGAGGTCAGTGGGAGTTCATCCAAGATGACTGCGTATCCCTGACTTCTGGAGACCTGCAATTCCGTCACTGAGAGATAAGATGGTTTTTTTCAATTCCCACCGTGTCAATAACTGACCGCTACCAGAATCTTGTTCGAGTGTAGTTTCGGTGTTTGTGGAATGAGGACTTTCCAGAAGGGGGAAGGATTGACTACAAGAGGAGAGATGGGAAACCACAAGCCGTTAACCACCTTCAGGAATTGTTCTATAGCCACCTTGGTGGTCCCTTGTGAATAAAGTACAGTGATTAAGATTTGAGAGGCCTACTTATTCTTCCTTTCTCAAAAATGAATATTGCTTAATTGCTCCCATTTTTTAGATGTGTATCTGGAGTCAGAACCAAAATATAAGTAAACAAAACCAAAACCAACCAAACAACAACAACAACAAAAGATCTCAAGATATTTTTCCCCATGGTAGAGCAATACAGACTGACGTTCCTTAATTTAAATTTTTGTTAACCTGGCTTCCTGCAATTCATGCCACTGGAGTTCCCTAAATGTCAGAAACCCTAAAAAAAAATCACTAATGACTTGATTTCAAAATATTGGTAGAGAAAGCCTACAGATTTGGTGGGGAGAGGAAGAGAGGACAGGTGCTACTTGAATCTCACCTACGCAGTCATATCGCCCACGGATATATTTCAGCTCAAAACCAACATGGCATTTGCAGTAGTAACTTCCAAATGTGTTCACACATCTTCGATTGTAGGGACAGATGGCTTCACCAGAGGCACACTCATCAATATCTAGAATGTGCGGAAGCAGAAGGTGTCAGTGACATCAGGACAAGCGCCTGCTCCCCACCACCCCAGCACCCGCAACCCGAGTTTCTTTACCTAGAGTAGTGTCTACTCGATGTCAATGTAACACCCTCCATGAAGTATTCCAGATCCCTCCAGATTTGCTCCTGATCCTTCCTTTCATGTACTTATATCACTTATCTACCTTTTTATAGAGGTGGTCTCACAATAGTACCGTTACTCTGTATACTGTCAGGGAATTGATCCTACGACTCCGCAGATACCCAGATCCATGAATGCTCTCTGTATAATGACATGGCACATGCATGTAAGTAGCCTATACATTTAAAGCCATGAACTTTAAATCATCTATAGATTATTTATAGTACAAAATGCAATGTAAATAGCACTTTAGACTCCCTCATACTTTTTGAAGAATTGATTTGACCATGGGATTACTTTTTTCTTTCACTTCAAAGATTTTCAATCTGCAGTTCATTGAATTCATGTAGGCAGAAACTGCAGATATGGAGGGTCAAATGTGTCCACATCTTCTAACTCAGCCGTTCTCAACCTATGAGTCATGACCCCTTTGGGGGGTCAAACAACCCTTTCACAGGGTTCACCTGATTCCTAATAGTAGCAAAATGACAGTGATGAAGTATCAACGAAAATAATTTTATGGTTAGGAGGTCACCACAACATGAGGAACTATATTAAAGGGTCGTGGCATTAGGAAGTTTGAGACCCACTGTTTTAACCTTGGCTTTCTTGGGACAGGAACTGTGTGTCTGTCACTTGGGACATATAAGTCAAATGTTTATTCAATGCATAATTATATTGTTCATGGAGCTTCAAAAGGTTCATGGACAAACGGAACTAAAAGATAATGGACAGTTCCAGCCCCCAAATTCAACCATTCCTATTACTTATGACCAAAAAAAGCAGTATTTGGAGGGTTTTAATTTGCAGCCTCCCTTAACCATGTTGTACACTTCTAAACATCTAGAAGGACACTTTCTAGATCTTTCCAATGAGGACTTAAGTTTGTCCACTACACACACAGAAATCTTGATTCAACTGCACATTTGTAACAAAAGCTAGAATCTGAAAATGTCCTTTAAATAAACATTCTGGTCTAGAATCACCGCCCCCCCCCACCGACACACACACACACACACACACCTCCATTTGACAAAAATAAGCACCTGTAATCCTCAGAGGGGACTTGTATAATTTCACTTCCACAAGTTATCCCTCTAAAGTTGAACATGAAATGTACAAAATGTGTGAGTTTAGTAAGTCTACTTTTTCATACGTGGGCAACCACTTGGACATTTAGTAAGACTAGATGTTATAAAATTAGGACATATCCTTGCTATAGCCTGTATACTCAGCAAAGTCATACATAATACACAGCATACATGGGCCTAGGGTTCACCTGCCCTCACTATAAACCTACTGATAAAGCCCTCAGCACTTTTTTCTCCCTCCTCTCTGAACGAGCACAGTCATGTGCTGCTCAGAGAGGTGGTTTGGCAATGGAATTGCCAAAAGACAAGAGTTCATATGAATTTTAACTAAGGGGCATCTACAAAACATGTTTTGTACTATTTGTACTAGAAATTTACTATTTCTACTTTTTTTGAGATGAGCAGGAAATAATTTTAAACAAAGAATTGTACATTTTCTTCGCACAACCCTGCTTTGTAATAGGAAATGACATTGGATCCATTTCACTACAGGCAAAATATTATAAAATATTTGCAAGAAAATATTAAAAATAACTCAAACAGCTTTAGATGCCACAGTAGCCCTTCCATCTCTTTCATGAAAGCTTCATATACATTATCCTTAATTTGTACTGAGACGAGAACAGAAGGACCGGATTTGGGGGCTGCCTTGGCAAGAGGTGCAGCAGAATCATCCTGTGACTTCCTTTGGGGAGCGGCAGTAGCCCCTTTGTTCTCCCGAGGGACTCTCGG